TATTTCAAAACTAGATACAATGTTTTATATAAGAACTCGGATAATTTTTTTTTTTTGCTTTAGAGGCTTTACACACAATATCAACTCAATTTTTATTTTATTATTGTAACCACAAAGTTTTCACCAACTCATATATATATATATATTACAGCAAAATGTCTGTCTGTCACGCTCTGTATCTCCTGAACGGTTAATCGTACAAAACATTATATACCAAAACGCTTATTTTCAAGAGTAAATTACAGGAAAGTTAGTAATTTTTTGCATTTCCTAAAATTTGATATTGATATTCAACATCAATCCGTCAGTGCTGAAAGGTCAATTTGAGAAAAAACTTATTAAGAACAAAAATGTTTCTTTTTGTGAGGACTTTTCACGAAAAAGGAGACTTTCTCCGTCGACAGATTGCAAGAAATATTTTCGAATATCGCATAGAGAGAAGAACGTGTTTGAGTATATTTGTTGTTATTCTTGTTTTGTTTTTTTCATGTCGGTATTATATTCGTTTGAGTATATTTGTTGTTATTCTTGTTGTTTTTTTCATGTCGGTATTATATGCATGCATGATATTATTATACCATGTCGAATAAATTTGATTTGAATTAAACTGACTATATCCCCTTCGATGCTTCTTATAGAAATGACAATGTCAAAATGTGCTCACTTCCATAACGGTCTTTCCTTGCGCTCAGTAAAATGACAAGAAATGGTGGCATCCAACGGAAAAAAATCCCAGCGGCTACTTAGCAAGACTGAACGCTTTGTTGTGCTGGATGCACCTACTGGATCGAAAAAAAAATATTTTTGTCAACAGTTCATTATATTCAGCCTCCTTTGCTTAAATGACAAAAGACAGTTGTAAACGGAACACAGGACAATCATATTGCGTATACGCTCCGATTCGAGGGATTGGGTTGCTGCACATGTTATATTTATTCATCACTATTTTTAGGAAAAATCATCGTTGAATTGTTTCAACAGGCATCTGCTAGTATAAGATATTTTCTATGCTGCTTTGGTTGTGATTTCCTTTGTAATTTATATTGGTGATATTTTAGAGGTTTAATATTTTTACGTTTATAGCTATTATGTAACTATTTTTCTATAAACTTTACGCTTTGCATTATTTTCCTAGTTGATCTTTCGTAAGGTAGCTGACGTTAAGAGGGAGAAAGAATTGGCGGACAGACGAAAGAATGAACCTTCCCAAGACCTCTCTCAGGATCACTTGGTTCGGAAACTGTTCAACCGATTCAAGAAGAACGGTCCAGAAAAGTCACCACCTAGTGCCAATCAAGTGGGAGCATTACCTGCACCTGACGTGGAAAAGGGAGAGCGTTCCTCAGCCACCATTAATGAAAACGGAGGAGAAAAATGTAAAAATTCTACAATTAAAGTATTTAGTATCTCCGAAGCTGGGGAAAGAGTAGAAAAGCCAGAAAGAACTACAAAATGGGGTGCTTTGAAAGTAGTCAGCAGTGATCACGAAGGAAAGAATAATAAAGAAAACGAGGTTAGCTCTGGAAGTCAAACGTCTACTAAAGGAGGAGAAGTTACGGCAAAAAAGAATGAACCTCCTTTTGTAGCTAAAGACTCAAAGCCAGTATCGGGAATAGCAAATAAAGGGCTTGGAAAATGGTCCAAGATCCTGGGTAGTCGTCAGGAAACGATTGAAGAAGTTAGTGAACCAGATTCCCACCAGGCTACTCCTAAACGAAAAAACGCGGAGTCATTTATTTATGGACATCCCAGTGATAATACTCATAGCAATATAAACGGTTACCAAAGAAATCTTCATGTTGAAGATCAGATATCTATTAACAAAGAATCTAATGACGACAGTGGTAACTTTAGCGGTGAAATATTTGCCCCTCGTAGCATCTCGAATACAGATTATCAGCAGATTGTAGCTAACCTGGTAGACTTGCGAGTGGATCTCAGAACTGAAATTAGAAAAATAAGCAATAAAATGACTCGCATAGATGAGCAAATGACAGAACTATTAAGTCATTTTGCCCATAACTCTGGGTCTCCCAGTAGCCCAACCCCATTTTCAAAACCTGAAAATAGCTTTAGCTTAGAGTTCAAACCTTTGAAAGGATCTCAGAATTCTTCAGAACATTTCAAACGCATTTGCAGTCATCATGGATCCTTCAAGAGAAAAAGCGTTCACGGAAAGTCGAAGACAAAGTCTCTTTCACCACGAACCTGCTCTTCAGACTCAACAGTGCGAGCAATGCTAGAAAACGAAATAGCAGAACAAAGAATAGATAGCAATAATTCTCCGACACAACAATTAGAAATTAACGAAGAGGAGTAGATTTAATTGTTGGTAATTCATCTTATCCCTATTGTTATTGCGTAAAAAGTAATTTATCCTTTTATATAAAGAAATGCTAGAATTAACTCGACTTTCAACTCGTTACTTAAAAGAAATACATGAATTGGCTAATGTTAATAGTGCTTTCTTTGCATTGCAGTTGTACTGTAAAAAAAGAACTATTTCTATATCTCCATTTGTCTTTAGAGAAAGGTGTTAGTGAATTTTTGACATTAGCAGTACTCAAGTATAATGAACATCATTTCTTAATGTTCTTCCACATCTGCCTTGAATATATTGTAAATACACTAAAATTATTTGTTAAAATTTGTACATTTTCATTGCAAAATATAGACATGAATGTTTATTCTTTTTACTCCTTAAAGGAGTGCGGATGTAGCAATATGTATTGTGCGCAAGAACATGCAACTCCTATGAAATTAATTGTGAAGACGAAGGTCAAAGTGAGTAAGCTAAACACTCTCTTTTCTTAATTTTTTTTTGATATTTCATTTGTTTGAATCATTCGAACCCGAATATGTAAGTCGGAATTTTACTTATACGAAGACTGAATGTTTTAAATTGTGTCCTGGTAAGCATTAAGAGATTAGATTATATAGTATCCATTAAGTTCAGTGTGGTTGACTGTTTAATATTTTTGTCAGTCTTGTTGTACGAATTACAGGTATGACCAAGCAACTTAGTCTAAATATTAAAATACTGCACATCAGTCATCATTATTTCCATCTTGTCTGTTAACAGAGGTCATAGAAACATTCCTCGCCGATCTGAAAGTTAAACATGTATAAACTTTAAGGTAAGAGAAATTAAGTTAGTTTGCTACGTTTCACTAAGTTAACTCAGCATCATAAAGCATACAGGTCACAATCAAACCCATCAAAGAATATAAGTATCTAACCTATATAAAAGCCAGTGTGTGTCACGTCACATCACGCTTAATTTCTTAAAATATTTTTATTCACTAAAGAACCAGTTACAGAAAAAAAAAGCCTTATAGAATAATAGCATATTTGAAGTTATCTTCATTGTGAAGTAGGGTCCACATTATTAAAATTACTTTTCCTAATTTTCAATATTGAGGCATCCCTGTTGCACCATTTCGGAAAAAAATAATTAATGACTAGAGTACAACAAAGGGTACTATCAACTGCTTTACATACTTCCTTGATGACACATTTATAGGTTTTCTGATCCAGAATCGGTAGAGCCCTTTGACGACTCTATAAATGGGATTTTACTTACAATTCAGTTCAACAAAGAAGTAGACAAAAATGGTTCTCGTTCGCTTTTAATTCTATTAGTTACGAAAGGGAAACATTATTTTCTTACATTTGTATTTAGGAAAAGCCCACATACGGGATTTGTATATTACTTCATTATTCACCCACGATAGGAACCAAACACTTAGTATTGTTAAATCTCTTTATGGTAGTGCAAAGTCTTTCCATAATTCAGGCAGGAGTCTAGACTTGGAAAAACGAGATTCATTTGATAGTTTTACCACATAAAAAGCCCCCCAGTGGCAGAGCGGTATGTATGCGGACTTACAACGCTAGAAACCGGGTTTCGATACCCGTGGTGGGCAGAGCTTTGTTCTTAACTTCAAACAAAAAAAACCACATAAAAACTATCCCACAGAAAAACGAGATTCATTTGAGAGTTTTACCACATAAAAAACTATCCCACAGAAAAACGATATTCATTTGAGAGTTTTACCACATAAAAAACTATCCCACAGAAAAACGACATTCATTTGAGAGTTTTACCACATAAAAAACT